AGATTACGATATGCTAATCGATTCTTCCGAAGAAGATGATTTTAGGTCCGAGTCTCACACAGAGCCAGTGAATCCGTATGTGACAATGGTTTCAGATGCCTTTGGTAATACAGATTCAGGATTTGATCAAGTAATGGAAGAAGAGCCTAATGGAGAGGAACACAAGTTTTATGATATTTTGGATGTTACAACAAGAGGGAATTATCCATCCTCTTAAATTTCGATAATACAATTTAAAAGCACTAAAGATTACAGCAGACAGAGATCGATCAATTGACAGCAAACTCGGAGCTAAATCTGAATGCGTCGAAGTGATTTTACCGGCAATGCCACAACGGCTGTCAAGGTTGGAATTAGTCAATTGTAGTGACGTTAAAGCTGAAGCCTCGCCTTTTGTTTCTTCGGGTCTCGAGACACCTAGACAAGAAATCAATTTGGCAAAGACATTCATAAGTTTTTCGGGCATAGAACTCAGGAAATTTACCTCTCAAAGAGAAGGAAGTTTGCAACAGTTTATCCCATAGTGAAGAAATTGCTAAGCTCGACATCTCTAACCATGAATTGATCGAAGCTCTCATGGTATACAAGCCGAGAAAACCCTCCAAGGATTTGGTTCTGGGAGATCAATTTGAAATGGGAAAAGGATTTGGGCTACGAGGCCCATTTGACATATATTGCACGGTCCAATAAAACTCCTCACCGAATGCGTAACGATACAACGACGGCGTTACAGTGGGTTCAAGAGGAGACAAACTTATCCGATAGCTGAACCGGAGGGGTGGATGAAAGGCTATGATACACCAGAGACTCGCCAAGACGGGTTTGAGCCCATCTCCGGGATGGAGGAAGGTGGTGAGCGGAGGTGAATGATTCGGTTTCTGGAAACCTAGAGATGCGGTGAGGGGAGCAATCGGAGCAGAGAGTGGCGATGGTAAAGATGGGAAGGAGAAGCCCGTCGGATCTAGAGGGGAGCCATCGGAGCAGAGAGTGATGATGGTACCGTTTTAGCTTTTACTTTACTGTTTTTCTTTTGATTTGTTTATGTGTTTACTCAATTAAAAAGAACTCCAACTCAATTTACTCTACTACTCAACAACACAACTAAATCAACGTACCATTATATTGGATAATTTCTAAAATCTAATCTACGAGTGTAGCACTTAAACTTACGTCAAAATCGACTTCAAACATATTATGCCCCTGACTATGCCAATTACACAGTGTTTTGAACTATATTTGTCTTAAAGTCGAAATGTTGTCCACTTTTTTAATTTACAATATTCGCTTGTAGACCAATTTAGATGGTATATTTACTAAATTGAACGTAAAATGAATACCAAAATATATTGCCTGGCATGGCACTATATTTCTCTATTTACTAGTATATTTCATTATTCAGTTTTGCTTCCAATAAAATTTGAACCACCAGATGGGTCTTGGGTTAATGGTGAGTTCTCATGGCATCTCCAACCCCACTCCAAAATGAGAATTGGAGTAAAATTCTCTCCAACCCCACTCCAAAACACACTCTAAAATGGAGTAAACTTATATTTTACTCCATATTTGAAGTAAACTCATTTCTTCCTCTACTTTGGAGTTAATTTTTTTTTTTTATAAAAAGACCATTTAACTTTTAAATGATTATACTTTTATACTTAAAATATATTATTAAAAAATGTTTTGGTTATTGTTCCGTTAGTTTTCAACAAAACATTAGGAATGATTGTCAATTTAATT